AAATGTGCACAATTGTGTTGTTACAAAAAGCAATAAAAATTTTTGTTCTTGTAGAATCTGAAGAATTAACAATAATGTTACAAGACATAGCGGTGTGCGCTGTGACATCAGGTATAATAGTAATAAAATAAAATTTGAACGTACCTTTGCCCCCTGCAAGTAGCAAAACAAAAATGTATTCAATATTCACGACATACAAGATCTAACTATAATAATTATTTTAAAAAGTTCATACTCACGTATCAACTATTAATAGACATTATTGAATCGTTTAAAGGGGGTCTTTCGAATATCTCTCTATACACTTGTATGTACACTATGTACACTTTAGTAGTTCAATTACGATTTGTACATGTTATCAGCATTATTTTTCTTAATTGAAGATTTGGAATGCTTACGCGTTCGACTTACATACCATGTTTATATACAGTGTTTTTATACATTAGAAATGCTGCAAACTTACCTCTTCGTCTCTAATATCTTTCAGTGTGTACGATACGACAGTAATGCCCATATTAACTAGATCACTGCTCGCAACTTCGAAGACTTCCTTGCTAAACTTTTTACGATCTTTGTAAATTTCCTACGGCAAAGAGTGGACCTCACGAGTCTAATAGCTTTTAACATAGGCAATTTAGGACAATTTATATTGATGTTCAACTTACCTCTACAGTCATACTGCCCATTATGGCTCGTTGATGTCCTTCTAGAGTGACGAGAGCTATATCATGTATCTCATCGTCAGATTTTCCAAGGAACTGCTCGCACGCCGTAGATAACATCTCTTCATTTTGTCCTTGAATTTTCACCTGGAGCAAATGCATTTTGCCATATATGAGTGTCATGTTAAGATCATTAAAGCTCGTTTATAACACACTTGTAAAGTTTTCCAAATTTTATACAACAACAAATATATATTATCAATAAAGTTTCCAGAATCATTATAACTTTATAACTTATACTTTTATATGTCATTATGAGTTATTTTAGATCTAATTTGAATCATATACATATGTATGTCAATTTTATTACATACAACTAAAATAAATATATGTAATATCTTGACACACATAAAATAGACACATAGCATAGATAAAAGCTTCTTTCTTCTTAATTACCTGTGCTATGCCTGTTACAGATATCGGAACTCCTTGACAGGTGTATACCGTTGGACTCTCGACTTGTAAAGTCATCGTATTCAGAGAAATTCTGTAAAGATAAGATATGCATAAGCCGAGGAATTCATCGTGCTATGCCTACGGAAGTACTTATATGACACTCACTTTTGTACTTGTTGCACGAAGGGCCAAACAAACACCCGCCCTCCAGGCACCAAGAGAGGTTTGCTGTAGCAACATCCTGGAAGAAGTTAATGCAAAA